CCTAAAAATTAAACACTTATGCACATCAAAAGACTTCTCCAAAAGAGTAAAAAGAGAGTCTACAGACTGAGAAGCAAATTTTGGCAATGACATTATCAGACAAGGGACTAATTTCTAAAACTATAGAAAACTTCAACATCTCAACAAGAACAAAAAAAGGCAAACAATCCAGTTAAAAAATTGTCAGTCAGATATTCAGGCAGCTAACAAACACATGAAGAATTGCTTGCAATCATTACCCATTAGAGAGATGAAAATAAAAACAACTTGAGTATCATCTCACCCCAGCATTAATGTTGTTGTTGTTGCCATCAAGTCAGCTCCAACTCATAGCAACTCATAGTACAATAGAACAAAACACTCCACAGTCCTGTGCCTCACAATCCTTGCTATACCTAAGCCCATCCTTTCAGCCACTGTGTCAATCCATCTCATTGAAGGCCTTCCCTTTTTTTCCTGACCCTCTACTTCACCAAGCGTAGGGAATGGTCTCTTCTGACAACGTGACCAAAGTAGGTGAGACAAAGTCTGACCATTCTCTTTTCCAAGGAGCATTCCAGCAGCACTTCTTCCCAGACAGATTTGTTAGTTCTTCTGGCAGTCCATGGTACTTTAAGTATTCTTTGCCAACACAGCTCAAGAGGATCAACTCTCTTTCAGTCTTCCTTAATTATTATCCAGCTCTCACATGCATGTGAGGTGATTGAAAATACTATGGCTTGGGTTGGGCACATCTTAGTCTTCAAAGAGATAACTTTGCTCTTCAGCACTTTAAACAGGTCTTCTCCAGCAGATTTGCCGAGTGCAATACACCGTCTGATGTCTTGACTGCTGCTTCCATTGGTGTTGATTGTGGAACAAGTAACATGAAGTCTTCGGCAACTTCAATCTTTTCTCCATTTATTGTGATGCTGTTTATTGGTCCAGTTGTGAGGATTTTCATTTTCTTTATGCTGAGATGTAATCCATACTGCAGACTGTAGTCTTTAATCTTCATCAGTAAGTGCTTCAAGTCATCTTCATTTTCATCAAGCAAAGTTGTGTTGTCTGCATATCACAGGTTGTTAATGAGTCTTCTTCCATTCCTGATGCCATGTTCTTATTCATATAATCCAGCTTCTCAGATTATTTGCACAGCATACAGATTAAATAAGTATGATGAAAAGAAACAAGCCTGACTCACTCCCTTCTGATTTTAAACCATGCAGTATATTCTTATTCTGTTTGAACTATAGCTTCCTGGTCCATGTATAGGTTCCTCATGGGCACAATTAAATGTTCTGGAACTCCCATTCTTCTCAATGTTATCCATAATTTGTCATGATCCACACATTCAAATGCCTTTGCATAGTCAATAAAACACAAGTAAACATCTTTCTGGTATTCTTTTCTTTCAGCCAAGATCCACCTGACATCAACAATAATGTCCCCTCTTTCCATGTCCTCTTCTGAATCTAGTTTGCTTTTTCTGGAAGTTCTCTGTCAATATACTGCTGCAATCATTTTTTAATTATCTTCAGTAAGATTTTACTTGCATGTGATATTAATGATATTGTTCAATAATTTCCACATTCTGTGGGATCACCTTTCTCTAGAATACGTACAAATATGGATCTCTTCTGGTCAGTTGGCCAGGTAGCTGTCTTCCAAATTTCTTGGCATAGACAAGTGAGGGCCTCCAGCATGGCATCCATTTGTTGAAACATCTCAATGGGTATTCCATCCATTCCTGGAGGTTTATTCTTTGCCAATTGCTTCAGTGCAGCTTTGACTTCTTCCTTCAGTGCAACTGGTTTTCAATTATATGCCACCTCCTGAAATGAATGAACATCAGACAGTTCCTTTTGGTACAGTGACTCAGTGTATTCCTTCCATCTTCTCTTTATGTTTCCTGCATCCAATATTTTTCCCATAGAATCTTTCAATATTAAAACTTTAAACTTGAATTTTTTTCTTCAGTTATTTCAGCTTGAGAAATGCCAAGTGTGTTATTCCTTTGGTTTTCTAACTCTAGGTCTTTGCACATTTCATTATAGTAATTGGCTTTGTCTTCATGAGCTTCTCTTTGAAATCTTCTGTTCAGTTCTTTTATCTTGTCATTTCTTCCATTTGCTTTAACTACTCACCATTCAAGGGCAAGTTTCAGAGTCTCTTCTGACACCCATTTTGGTCTTTTCTTCCTTTCCTATCTTTTTAATGACCTTTTGCTTTCTTCATGGATGATGTTCTTGATGTCATCCCCATGATTCCTCTGGTTTTCAGTCACTGGTGTTCAATGCATCAAATTTATTCTTTAGATGGTCTCTAAATTCAGGAGTGATGTAATAAAGGTCATATTTTGTCTCTCATGGACTTGTTTTAATTGTCTTCAGCTTCAACTAGAACTTGCATATGAGCAACTGATAGTCTGTTCCACAGTCAGCTCCTGGCCTTGTTTTGGCTGAAGATATTGAACTTCTCCATCACTTATTTCCATATATGTAGTCCATCTAACTCCTATGTACTCCATCTGGTGAAGTCCACATGTATAGCCACTGTTTATGTTGTTGAAGGTATTTGCAATGAATAAGTCGTTGGTCTTGTTAAATTCTATTGTGTGATCTCTTCTCAGAAGAAGGAAGGAGGCATCCACTTCTCAAAGAATTGGCCAGTGAAAACCTTATAAATAGCAGTGAAACTATGTCTGATATATTACTGGAAAACCATTAATAGCAAAGTTCAAAAAGCAGAAAACAACACATGGTATCAAGGGTATGGAGAGATTGGAACTCTCATATATTACTGGTGGGATTGTAAAATGGTACAACCACTGTCGAAATGGTATGATGCTTCCTTTAAAAGCAGGAAATCGAAATACTGTATGATCCAGCACTAGGTATACATCTGAAAGAAATAAGAGCCATTATACAAGTAGATGTATGCACTCCCATATTCATTGCAGCATTATTCACAATAGCAAAAAGATGGGAACAACCTAAGTGCCCATCAAAAGATGAACAGATAAACAAACTATGGTACATACACATAATGGAATACTATGCAACATTAAAGAATAATGATGAATCTGCAAAACATCTTACAACATGGATGAACCTAGAGGACATTACACTGAGTGAAATTAGTCAATCACAAAAAGGTAAATATTGTATAAGAGCACTATTGTAGAAAGTCAAGAAAAGATTTACACACAGAAAGAATCATTCATTGAAGGCAACAAGGGGTAAGAGAGGAAGGGAGGGTAAATTGCTAACCAGAGGGTGGACACATATTAACTTGGATGAAGGAGAAGGCAATATATAATAAGGGGGATGTCAACACAAAGTGGTCAAGGCAGAAGAAAACACTGGAAGGAGCACAAGAGTTAAACCAACAGAGATAAATACTATTGCATACCTAATCCTGCAATAACAGTAATAATAATCTACAAGTGGTAATATAGACCTTAAAGCTGAACAGGATGGGGAAGCAAATGGGACTACACCCTCAAATATATATAGGTTTGACAGAAGATATTTCTACAAATGTATTTATATGTGCTGCAAATACATCCATGAATACAGTAGAGCACACAGGGGACAAAGTTATAAAAACGTCTAGCCATAACCAAACACCTTGAAGGAATGAATCACTGGGCAGGTGGGCTCTGGACCATAGTCTCAGGGGACAAAAAGGTCAACTGGCATAATGTAGGCACAAAGACAATGTTCTACATTCTATTTTGGTGAATAGTAACTGAGATTTTAAAAGTGTTTGAGTGGTCATCTAAGGTGCAACTCTTGGTCTCTCCCAGTCCTGAGCAAAGAAAAGTGAAGAAAATCAAAGATACAAGGAAACAATTAATCTAAAGGACTTATGGGCCATGTGAACCCCAACCTCTACAACACTGAGAACTAGATGGTACTCAGCTACCATTGCTGATCGGTCTGAAAGGGATCACAATAGGTCTCAGATAGAGTGAGAGAAAAATGTGGAACAAAACTCAAAATCATAAAAAATACCAGACTTACTGGTCTGATAGAAACTGATGGAACTCCCAAGAATATGGCCCTTAGATATCCTTTAAGCCAGGAAATGAACTCAACTTTCAGTCATATGATAGACAGACCTATAAGGTGAACAATATTACCAGGAAGGTATGCACATCAGGACAATCAACAATACGAGATTAATAGGGTAGCACTTGCTCATAGATAAAGTTAAGAAGGCAGAAAGGGACAGGAAAGAAGAATGATGGGAAATGGTAAGCATAGGGAGGAAGTGAGAAAAGTGCTGTTACATTAAAGGGATTACAGGGAATGTCACAAATTAAAAAGTGAATTGTTGAATGGAAAACCCAATTTGCTCTGTAAACTTTCACCCAAATCAAAATTACAAACAAACAAACAGCAAATATTATTCTCTACTAAAACTGGTGGGGGGAGAACAAGTATAGAAGAGAAGAGTATGTTCTAGTTTATCAAAGATTCTAGTTAGTGGAGAGCTACATGGGCTGTTTTCAAGAATTTACATTGGTATCCAAGTATCCTAAAAGTACTTCAATGTCTGGTGGTCCCCTAGGCTTATGGATCTGAATGCTGGTCATCATTATATGAATGATGCACAGAAGGTCTACTCATGGAATTTTTCATGATAAACCAGAGTCACTCTCATAGATTCACCATTGGTTCCTTGACAAACTTGGGGTCAAAATTCATTCCTCAGAACACAGAATTTGCTTGAGGGAAAAGCATTTAGTTCCATGGGCACCTCTGGGATGTGGTAGGCCTTACTCAGTGATGGAATCACTTAAGCCAGGGTGAGGTCATAGATATAGGGTGTGGGGGAGCAGAACAAGAGCACGTACCTGACGTTTTCCTCTATGATTGAAAGTAGATACTTTAATCCATAGGTCAAATCTAAAATGACTCCATAAAACTCACCAGCCCACTATGCTACTTTGAACCCTCCCTATGCACCACTCTTGGTGGGAGATGGGACAACGTCCTTCATGTGGATCTCACCTGCTTAAATTGAATGGTGACAACCATATGTGATCGGCTGCTGCTGGCATTCATGTTGGTTGAAGCGGTTGTCCTTATTTTTGTTCCTTGTTCCATCAGCTTTTCAATTTGTGCATAGTTCTCACAAGGCACTGACGTCAGACCATCCACATAAAAGCCCAGCTGTTGATCTTCTCTTACTTTTAGCCCACCAAGTTTCTTGGTTCTAGACAACAAATCTCTTACCTGTGGAAAAAAGAATAAATAATGTAAACTAAAGGAAGGCAGGGGTATCTGTTTTCTTCACTGCTATAAACCAAACTCACTGCCACTGAATCGATTCTGAGTTATAGCAATCCCCATTGGGTTTCCAAGGCTATATATCTTTATGGAAGCAGATTGACCTATCTTTCTTCTGTAGAGTGGCTCGTGGATTCGAACAACTGACTTTTTGGTTAGCAGCCAAATGCCCTAAAATATATTAGGTGCTCAATAAATACATCTTGAATGAATAAATATTAAATTCTTCATTTTATAAGTGAACAAACTGAGGCTCTGAGATTAAGTGTTTTTTCCAAAGTCATGTAACTAGTAAATGAGAGGACTTAGAATTGAAACCATGTTCTTTCTATTACTCCAGGAGTGGGCAAATGATGGCTTATGGGCCAAATTCTGCCCACCACTTGTTTTTGTATGATAATCAAACTGAGAAAATATTTTTAAATGATGGGAAAAAATAAAAATATTTTCATGACACATTGAAATTATATGAAATTCAGGTTTCAGTGTCTAGAAATGAAGTTTTATTGGAACATCATCATACTAATTCAATTATATATTGTCTATGGTTGCTTTTGTGCTATAAGAGCAGAGTTGAGTAGTTGCAACACAAACTACATGGTCCTTAAAACCTAAAGTATTTACTATCTGGCCCTTTACAAAAAAAAAAAAGTTTGCTGACCTTTGTACAACACCATGCTAACTGAAGCCAACTGTCTCGGGAAATAAAGATGTACTGACATTAGAGTGGGATCTCGAAATTTACAAGAAAGCAGGAAGGGTATTCCAGGCAGAGAGAAGGTAGATGTGTGAAATAATGACATGTTCTAGGAAAGAGGAATAGTTCTGTGTGGCTGAAGCACAGAGTGTGACTGTGTGTGGAGATAAAAGGACACAAAATGAAACTGGAGCACAGGCAAGAGTCAGATAGTCAATGCCGGACAAAAGAGTTTTTACTTTATCTGTAAGGCAGGTGATGGTGAGCCCTTGATAATCATTCAGCTGTGGAGAATTACTCAGATTTGTGTGTCAGAAAATATAATCACTCTTACCTGCTCATTGTAAATTTCTAACATGCTGAATGTAACCTGTGTAGAGAAGAAGATAAAATAAATATTCTCTTGAAACAATCATCTTTGAGGAAAAAAAAAAAGTGACACAGAAACAATATAAATATCCAACAAAGGGAAAGCCAAAATTTAACGTAGTGAAGTTCTATTTCACATGCAATATCAGGCTCTCAAGGAGCTCTGGTAGCATAGTGCCTAAGGCACTTGACTGCTAACCAGGAGGCTGGCAGTTCAAACCCACCAGCCACTCCTCGGAAGGAAGGTTGGGCAATCCTACTTCCGTAGTGATAACTGCCTGGGAAACCCAAGGAGGAGTCGCTAGGAGTCGGGGCTGACTCGATGGCAAAATAACAACAACATCAGGCTCTCAAATAACTTTAATGATAGGAGGAAGATCTCAATATAAATTAAAACAGATACATAATAGTATGTGAGTGTCTGTGTGTGTGTATGTAGATCTCTATTGGGAACTAAAAAAGGTTGTTACTTATTTCTCACCACCCCCTACTGTATGCAGAGAAGAATCTTTCTCAAAGTAATATTGTACTTTTGGAACATTGCTATCCAAGCTTATATCTCCAGGTTAGGAAATTGGAAGACTCTTCTCTAGGGAGATTGAATGGTTCTTGTCAGAAAAGGCCTTAAGAACACTGACGTCTTGCCACACAACCCCACTATAAGAAAGCTAGCTTTTCTGTTGGTAAATCTATGGTGAGTCTTGCCAGTCAAGTTTCATGCCCATAAGATTCCAACTAGCTTCAGGTGTTGTTGCAGGGTGCCAGAGAGACCACTTTTAACTCATAGCCACCCCATGTGAACAGAGTGCCCCATGTTTCCTAAGGTGTTATCTTTACAGAAGCAGATCTCCAGGTTTTTTTCCCACAGAGCCACTGGATGGGTTTGAACCACCCATTGTTCTACCAGGCTTCCTTCACTAGCTTCAGAGTCTCATACTGTAAAACAAATGGCCAATGATTAGCAGTCAAGGAAAACTACTAATATAAAAAAGAGATCAAAACAAACAACTAGGAAAAAAGAAAGGAACTCAGAGAAAAAAAGACAATGCAAAGCATAGAAAGAAACATTTTACTGTAAAAATGGTGTGGCAGGGGCATCTGACCTCACCTCACCTCACAAGAGGGAAGGAGAATTAAGATCAACAGACCAACGTTGACTTCTATGAGGCAGAGTTCACACATGCCTCCATTCTTCAAACATTTTACCAATTCTGACACCAGTCATCCCTCCCATGATATTCCTTATGTCTCTGCTGGGTTTGATCATTTGTTGCAATGGCCACACAGAACTCACAGACAATACTCATGATTATGGGTTTATTAGTTCAGAAGACTGGGAAATCTACATCTACTTCTATAGAGATACCACCTCGGAAACCCAAGGAGGGGTCGCTATGAGTTGGAATTGACTTGATGGCAGTGAGTTTGGCTTTAGAGGTAAGTAACAGGTTATAATTCAGGATCAGAAATGACTCAGGATACAATCCTTCTATCAGGACAGTCTCTTCTCAGCCATACCCATAGGCAGGCCTATTAGTAGTCCTTGGCCCTCCAAGACCTACACCTTTTAGTTTTCTTTGGACTTGGGCTGGCCTGGCTTCTGCCCTACTCAGGCAAGTGTTACAAAGCACTTTAGTTCTGCCAATAAGTACCTGGAGACACCCTACTCCACCAGTAAGCCTCCTGTCCAAAGGTGCTAAGCTCTCTCACTCCATGGGCTGGGAAGCCCACCACACCATCTCTTGCCAGTCTCCTGGTTCTGCTGCCTCTGATGTTTCACCATTTCCCTACTGCTACTTGCCATCTCTCATCATCTCCGATGTTGCAACTCTCTATGTCTTGGGTCTAAAAGATTCCCAGCACAGAGTCCTCAGGTCCAAAGGATACACTTCACCCCCATCTCTTCTTCTTGGTGGCAGTCAAGTCCCCCTTTCTGCCTTTGGGATGGCTAATTTTAAGCTTAGCTGGGTGGTAAAATGCCCAATCCCATGTTAGGGTTCCATATACCACCTTATTTGCATGATCACACTCTCCACATGGATGCCATGAACCTTATTTGAATTATCAGCAAGCTGTCCAATCCCTTGGTGGGCCACAAACACTTCATTTGCACAGTCTTACCAGTCATTTCCACCACTTGGTCCGTTTGTCATACTGTGGCTTGCATGTTGCTATGATGCTGGAAGTTATGACACTAGTATTTCAAATACCAGCAGGGTCACTATGGTGAACAAGTTTCAGCAGAGCTTCCAGAATAAGACAGACTGGAAAGAAGGATGAGTCTATCCACTTCTGCAAAAACTGGCCACTGAAAACCTTATGAATAGCAGTGAAACGCTGTCTGATATGTTACTGGAAAGCTTTATAAATAGCGGTGAAACATTGCCTGATACGGTGCTGGAAGATGAGCCCCTCAGGTTGGAAGCCACTCAATATATGACTAGGAAAGAGCTGTTTCCTCAAAGAAGTGTAGATCTTAATGAAGTGGATTGAATAAAGGTTTCGGGACCTCCATTTGCTACTGTGGTATGGTCCAAAATGAGAAGAAACAGCTGCAAACATTCATTAATAATTGGAATGTGGAATATATGAAATATGAATCTAGGAAATTGAAAGTTGTCAAAAATGAAATGGAATGCATAAAAGATCAATATCCTAGCATTAGTGAGCTGAAATGGATTGGAAATAATTGTGAAGATGCCACAGGCTTGGACATTGCATCGTTCTGTTGTACATGAGGTCATTATGAGTCATATCCAACTTGATGGCACCTAACAACAACCAGTCATTTGGGGAGTTACAAAGACTATGGCTAGAAGGGCCATGTTAAGTAATTCACTGTACCACAATTTTGAAAAGCCCTATAATTATTAGTACCCTCAGAGAGATAAAGAATCATATCCATGAAAAACCAGGATGCTATTAAAAAGAAACAGAGAACAAGAAAAAGTTTTTTTGAAATTAAACTTATGAATGATAGACAAAATAAAAGTCTAATAGAAGAGTTATAAAATGTATTTGAAAGAATCTTCCAGAAATAGAATAAAAACACAAAAAAATTGAAATAGGACACAAAAGATAATGAAATTAGGGCATTAGAACAGGAGGTCTGAAATCCAAGTAATAGGAGTTTCAAAAAGGGAAAACAAAGGAAACAGGGGAGAAAATAATAAGGAAATGGTGAAGGAAAGTCTCCAAGAATTGAAGGATAGCAATCTCTAGATTGAAAGGATCTGCTGAGTGTGCAGTGTGATGAATGAAAAAAAGACTAATCAGGACATGAGGGATAGAGAGAATATCCTAAAAGATGCCCGAGAGAAACTGACAATCAAAAAACGGTCACAGACAAAGAATTGAGGATTAGAATGTTACTATACTTGCCAGCTCCAGCAAGAATTCTGAAAGACCTAGAGTTCTAGTACAGGTAAACTTCAATCAAGTGTAGAGGTAAGGAAATATATTTACAGTTATGAAAGAATGCATAAAAAGATGTACCACTGATGCACCTTTTCTGAGGAAGTTGCAGCAAAGGGAGTCATTAAACCAAGAAAGGGAAGCCAAGAAAGAAGAATATTGAAGGAAATTTTCAGAATGACAGATTTGCAATAGGCATAGAGAACCACTGCTCCAGGAGACCCTCCAAATATGGAACTAATAAGTTTGAGAATATGGAAAATATTGTTAATAGGCACATGGTAATGATTCGGAGCATTTAGAAAAACATGTACAAAGACTCGTAGAAAACTAGTCATTTTTTTTTTTATTGTGATTTGGGTGAAAGTTTACAGAGCAAATTCATTTTCCATACAGCAGTTCACATACACTTTGTCTCATGACATTGAACTAGTCTTATTTTTTTTTCAAAAAAACCGAAAAACTCCAAGAAAAAGAAATTGTAGCAAAGATGTGTGCATTACTTGGCTCAGGAACGAACAGTATTTGCACAGCTAAAATGTTAAATGCTATTGATGTAACAAAATTTTGAGAACAGAGTTCTGGTAAGATGGCAAAATAGACAGAAAGATGGCACAGACCCTCTTCAATAAAGAAAAGGGGAACCAATTAACACAGACACACAAGATAATCCTGGACCCCTGAGCCTTGAAGGGAAGGATATAGAAGTAGACTAAACTCCAATCAGCAGAAGAATTTACGTGAAAATACCAAAAAAAGGAGCCATTCGGAGCTGCGGTCTGGCAGCAATTCTGACAGCCCAGACAGCTTGGAAATTGCCGAGTGGTGGTAGGACCTAACAATTAACCTAAAAATCAACCCTGCTAGCCAGGGACTGCACGGAGGACTGCTCTGGTGGCTGGGGAATAGAAGTGAGGAAGTGAAGAGGATGGCAGGCTGAGCTGTGGACTTTTGCTTGTCCAGAGTGTGCAGCCATTTTGAATGTTTACAAGCAGCTTGACCATTTTGGATA